AACCCCAATTCCTAAACCTGAACCCTAAACCCTAATGCCCAAACCCTAATGCCTAAACCCTAAACCCTAACTAGGGGCCCCTGGTAGGGACCTTCATCCCTAGGTCCATACAAACCTAATGTATACCTTATGAAAACCCGAAAAAGCCCAACGCGGGGCACGTACTTACTTTTAGAGTTTAGGGTTTAGGGTTCAGGGTGACTTAATTAATAGGTTAAGAATGGGAGAACTAGGAAAACTATATGGGTTTTAGGGGTCATTAACCTACTTACTAAGTCCCCCAGATCCTCCAAGTAGGACCCAAAAAACTGGTAGGGGCGCAAATTAAGGGAGCCAAAGTTAAGACCTTAAACTCATGTAAGAAGACTAGTAATCAGAAACATTATCTTCTGAAGGCCCCGGAAGACTTGCGGCAGAATGTACCCAAAAGGTCCTATGCCAATGATCTGGACCCATACAGTACATGGAATCTATCAAACTGTGGGTAGGTGGTCCCTGGAAAAAAGGGAGGAGTAGAACTATTTGCTTCTGTGCCCAAAAGCTCAAAGCCTATATGATGATTTCTCAAAATCAGGGTCACCAACATACCTCGCCAAAGTAACCCCTATGTTCTTTGTGCAATTTCCCAAGCGCTCTTTTGGTGTTATGTTGGGGTTCTATTGGCATAATGGAAAATAAAATGGAAAATACACGGATTATAGGGGTTGTATAAGGATGATAGGGTATTTACTGGGGTTAACGCATTTTGCTGTCTTGGGAAGTCCTCATGGGCAATGATGGCTGCACTTACACACATGACCATGGTGGCTTTAAAGATAAGATGCTCCTTGCGAAGTACCATACCCAAAAAGGGGATGTAATCTTACTCTATATTTGGGTAGTTCCCAAAATTGGGGTCCCATTTTGTTACCCCTAAATATTAGGTGCCGTAATAGAATTTATAACCAAAAAGGCCCATAGTTTTGAGAACTACAGTACCCATTTGGGACCAGAGTCTTCCCATATACATGTTGCTCACATGCCCTGGCAATTCAGGCTGGTCCACTTTCAAGCAATGAGGTTCCGGCGCTCAGTTCTGCTGGTGGTATCACCAAAGGACGCGGGGCCGGCATGGACCAGAAGCGTCAGCAAAGGTAAGGGTAGGAGCCTGGCACGTAAAGTTTGTGCACCTTTAGGGTTTCGGGCTTAGGGTTCAGGATTTGGGGTTTAGGGTTCAGGGGCACCAAATTACGGCAACGTCGACGTCAAACGACGATCAAAGACGACAAAGCCAACGCTACCGCTTATGATTGGCTGAAGCAACATCGGTAGCTCAAAGTTCCGAAGGCTGAAGAACCTTCGAATTGCTAGCTGAGTTTGGGGTCCCTCAAGGGAGTCATAGGGATATGTACTATGGGCGTTTCCGGCTAGACTGTGGTCAAAAAAGCCTGTTTGGATTGGGGTATGTTCCGGGTGAATGTTTCGGGGTATGTTTCGGAGTACCAGCATCTTGACGAAAGGGGCGTTAGTTATGCGGGTATGCATCCGGGTATGTATCGAGGTATTATCGGGGTACGTATCGGAGGGGTCAAACATGCTCCTTTTCATGAATTCCTGACCCCAAATTGATGGAAAAACCCATATAGGTGTAATGGAGGATAAAATGGATATTTAGTGTCTAGGAGCCCCAAAGGATGCGCAACTCACTGCTCCCATTTCTTCCTGTCCCCCATCTACAATTTGCTGAGGCTCCAAAGGGTGTGCCAAGGTTCCCAAGATAAACGGTTTAGGGTTTAGGCTAGCAGCCATGGAGAGTACTGACAAGGCAGGAGCACCTGCGACCAGGAACCATGGCTTCAACAGGTGAGCTCCCTAGACCCTAAACCCTAAACCTGCGGGATGTGACTGGTCAGAACATTGGGCTCTTGCACAGCAGGCGGTTGGGCAGACATGCGAATCATGCTGGGAAATCATGGATTTCTCAGCCAAGGTTGCTTGCGATGATCGAGGTAAACCCTCAGCCCCAAGCCTTAAACCCCAAACCCCTTGACTAGTCTCTGGGTTGATCAGAACGGCTGCGGAACACACACTGGAAAATGACTATTCGGCCAAGCCTTTTTGCAGCTGCTATACTGCAGCTATTGTTCACAAGGAATTTGGAGTAGGAGTTCTCATATAAACCCAGGTTCATCCAGGTTCCACGTCATTATCCATGTTCTTTTCCATTTGAGTCTCCATTATAGGGATATATCGGGATAATGTCCCTAAACCCTAAAACCTCTGACCCCAATAGATTGGAGGCAAACTGGCGCGTCGGCCGCCCATTGTGCCAAGGAAGTTGCACAGAAATGCACAGATGCCTCCGGATTTTCGCGCTTTGAAGCTTTCGAATTCAGACAACTGCCCAATCATGTCTGATGCTTGTGTCTTGGCATCAAATGCAAGATCAACTTGAAAGACTAGATTGGGCAAGTCTTCATCGCTTCCATTAAATTTTGACTGAAGCTCTCGAGCTATCCGGCAGAGCATACTTCGCATGCTCGTGAAAGTGAAACTCTTGTTCTTAGCTGACTCAATGCTGCTTGTACGCACATCCTTCCTAGAGTCGCTAGCATGCCCGTTATTCATAATTGGCACGAAGACTTTGTCCAGACTTTGGGAAGAAGTTCACTTGCTGCTTGGCCAGCCACTAACCGAGCTTGGCTTCAAATCGTAGGATCTGATTTAAGGGGTTCCCATCATTATGTGTACCTTTTTTGAGGTCCCTATAGTGAGGACTATAGTATATCGGGTTCTATATGGGGTCACCCCTATTCAGGGAAACTATATTCATGGCACAACCCCTAAACCCTAAACCCCAAACCCCTAAAATGAACATGACAGGAAACCACTTGGGATGGGGGACCAGCATTTGATCCCACCTTTCAAAGCCGCATTGGAGCGGCACCCAATCAAGAGGGCGCCTCCTTCTACAAGTCCTGTAGCGTGGGGGCTCAGGGTTTAGGGGTTTAGGGGTTTAGGGGTTTAGGGTTTAAGGCATTGTATCCGCAGATGAGAAAGAAGAAGGAGAGGGAGCAGGCGAAGATTCGAACGAAGTGAAAGCTAAGCAGCAGCCACAGCTCTAGCAGCAGCAGTCCCCCTAACAGCCTCGGAAAGCCTAAACCCTAAGCCTCGAATAGTAGATTCCATGTTCTTCTCCCTTATCCCAATATGAGTATCCCATAAATAACCCCTATATACCCCGTAACCCCACCCCTACAGCTCCACGCTGGTGGTGCTCATAGTAGCGGCATCAAACATGGGGTTAAATACAGGGATATATAGGGGCTTATATAGGGGACTACTATAGGCGTTATTAAGGGGGATACTGGGAG